CGCGTTTTGCACAATTTGGATGGCATTGATTGTAGAAGTTCGTGACTAATTGACACCACAATAACTTTGATTCCCCAATATAGGGAGTAGGGACATACGCCATACTATTCCAAATTCCTTTATTTTTCCAAGCACCACTAATAGAGTAATGCACTAATAGAGTAATTGGCAAACAAGCCCACAGAATTTTTTTTCAATGTGTCAGAAAATTTTGAAACAGATACCTCTGGCTTGTATGATGGTGACCAATGCAGCAACTCAAACAGTAGAAAGATATGATTAACTAAAAGAACAGAGTATCATGTCTGCAACCCGTAAGAACATTTCACTGAAAGGCTAAATCATGTAAGATAAGAGATTATTCACCTGACACTATTGAAGGATATTCTCCAGCGTTTCTTCCTGCTTGTCCTATTGCCACTTCAGTAGGTGCAGCAACAACACCAACATCTTGCACTGTCAAGTCACTGGAAGAATATCCAATCTTTTCAGGTAAATCCTTTTGGTATTCATCAGATATGGTATTAGAAGGCTCTACCAAAACAAGAGATTGATCACTTTTCCTTATTTCTCTTGTTTCAACATCAACTGGTGCACCCTTGTCCATTTCAAAAACAGATGTAAGCTCACTTGACTCCTTATGGCCTTCAGCAAGCATGGGAACACCAGAAGGCTGGACCAATGGAAGACACTGACCACTTTGCTGTGCTTTTCCTGTTTCAGATTCAGGCAGTGTACCCTTCTCAGTTTCCAAAGCAGTGTTAAGCTCACTTGACTCAAGGGATTCTGTTGAAACGGGAATAGTTGGTTGTTTAAGAGCTTCAGATTGAGTTTCTTTACTCAGATCCCTCAACGTCGTGTCATATGAAGGTGAATTATGTTTTTCTCTGTCAACAAACTCAATACCTTCAGCAAACGATGATGTCAACTTCGCATCTTCAGCCTCAGTGTTCAATGCTGCAATGCAAAATAACATACAGCAGAAATTAAACAGTGCATTCAAAGAAGAATTATAAGACTTCCAAACATCATCACATAAAACCTTTTCAAAGGGGAGAAACAAGAGAAATAGTAGAGTACAAGACTAGCCGTACCCGGACAAGCCCCAGAGGAACTGTTGGGTTGTGATCCAGTACTTGTATCACCTTTAATTCCTTCCTCACCAGAAAAAGTGGACACTTCTTTTTCATTTCCATCACAGGCCACATCACTTGAATCAAGAGGCAACTTCTTGATGCCTGTTTCATAGACTGGAAAATCCAGGTCGTCTTCACGGGGATCCAACTGCATGGGGATAGTATCTTCTGTACCTGTCTTCACGCTCCCAGCTAACAGAGGAGGGTCAGCATGATCCACCTGATCGTCCAAATTCTCTTGTGCTACAGCAGGATCTCCAGCAACACTCACATCATCATTCACTGATTTTTCCCCACAAAAACCACCCTCAAAGGTGGTCAGTGTCTTATCAGAAGGATTACCAATCACCACAGAAGTAACAAGTGGAGCCTCTGCAGAGCTGTCAGTTCCAGGTTGAATATTCTTAGTACCAATGAAAATCGCATTGTGATCAGGTGGTTGGATGACAGGAAAGTGATTGGGATCAGTATCTCCAGAGACTGTAGACATGACAGCATCACTGCCTTGCACTTCTAGCAGCTTAACAGTTTCTCCCTGAAGGGACATAGACGACTCCTCATGAACTATGCCATAGCCTTCAGGCAGCTTCTTAATTTCTATGCTTGAAGCCAAGACCACTGTTCTATGTTGACTATCACCTGCAACAAGAAATCCAACCTCATTGCACCTGTCTTCTGTGGACACAGATTCATTTTTTTTAGCCACACTACACGCTTCAGCAATATTAGCATCACAAATTTGACCTGAGTGCTCTTCTTTTGAGGATTCCATTGGTGAAGGGATCTTGTGGGAAGCTTGGCATCCAGTAAAGTCAGTTCCAGCACCCAAATTCCCTTCATTTTGGTCGCATCCTTTCTCCTGTTGCTCACGTGAAAGAGAAATAGCATTTGCTACATCATTTGAACTTACAAAACAGACATCAGTAATGTTGTCCTGATCATCAGACTCCTTCACACTAGTAGCAACATTCTGAGTTGAACTATCAGTTTTATCAATTCCTCTCTCAATGTGAAGAACAGAGACAGTTTCTTGTTGCGTATGAGTGGACATAGATTCATTCACCAAATCGAAAGTTTCATCTTGATTATCACTGGCCATCTTCAAGTTAACTACCGGATTTTCAGAGTTCAGGGGGCGAATTCCATCGTTGCCATCACCAGACACTCCATAAGAAGAAATATTTGTTACCCCAGCAGGTACAGAAACCTCCATCTGAACATCTTCTACTTTGTCACTCTCATATGACCTAGAAGTATTCCCCTCAACTTCAGCAGGTGATATTGAAGAATTTTTTAAGGGTTTGACATCATCAGTTTTGTTATCATGCCCCACATCATCCATTTGTCTTGTTGGGCTACCAAGCTGGTCACCTGGCTCTGGCTCTTCCATCAACTTTTCACCTCGCACCATTTCTTCCTGCCCAACTGCCTTCAATAACATTTCAACAGATTCAGAAGATGTTGCCTCAGACCAGACATTGATGTGCCTTGGCAAAGCACAAGATTGTGTTGCACTGGAGCTGAACTCTATTCCACTGCCTTCCCGAGAAAAATCCCCAATCCACTGATTGTCTTCCTGACTTGAAATACCAAGAAAAACTTCGTTTTCAACTAAACTATCGAATCTCATATGCCCCTGGAGACTGTCATCAAAATCAAATTTAGGTAGAGCAAACGGTCGCAGAACAGAAGAAGTCTTAGAGCTCTCTTCACCAGCTAAGTGAAGATTGTGGCCTTCATAGTCATTGTCATTATAATCCATGGGAGTATACCTAAAAAGTACAGGGAAAAAGGATACCAGACGATTATTGAAAAATAGCTACGGAGAAGGGTCAAATCTCAATAACAAGCTAAAAGCAAAATAATTGCATCCAGAACAAGAATGAACATCCTACAGCCAGAAATAAACGAAAATATCTTCAGTAAAACAATATGGAACAGTTTGTAAAATATTCAATAAGGCATGCAGCTTCCTATAGCCCAGCTTTTCTCCACAAATTTGTCCTAAACTAGAAGGATCTCTTATCAATGGGATATTGCTGTCAATGCTTGCACTTGCTTAGACTTGGAGAATTTTCAATTTATACCTGCATTTCCCAAAACATGTGATGCTGTACGAAGCATGAAGCTTTTCTCATTGCACTGTCAGTTTCACTTTTTAGGGCAAGAGAAACAACCATATAACACAGTAACTGGTTTTTCAATAAATGGGCCTAGGTAGAACTCATCCCCAAAAGCCAAAAGCTAGGTCAAAAGGAAATGTTCTCCAACTTACATCTATACACAATAAGAGACAATAACTAATCGATGTGAGACAAATATAATTTCTAACACTTGTGGGACAAATATAACTTCTAACACTCGCACTCAAGCTCAGCGTGTCAAACCAAGTGGGTTGGGCCCAAACCCAACATCGCCTCCAAACAAATTTGGGTGCTTTGATACCATGATAAACGGGCCTGTGTAGAACTCAAAAGCTAGCTCAAAGGAATAGGGCGTCTAACCCACATTTATACACACAAAAAGATCCCAATAACTAATCAACGTGAGACAAACAAACTTCTAACGTGAAGTACAAAACCAAATTAGGATTAAGAACATGTGTTTCAGAACTCAAGATGGCTGAAAAGTTCCAAAGGTATTTTTGTAATTGTGATAGTGTATGGCCCTCAAGTAAACTTATTTAGTGACATTTAAATTGTGAGTGCCCTTAGGAGAAAAATTAGAGTGAAATTCCTATTTTCAGATACCATGGCCCGAGGAATGCTCGGCCTTGAAGCTAATTGTGGTAAGAAACAATTTTACTCTTGTACGTTATCGATGAAGCTTAACAAAAACTGAATTCACTATCACCGGTTTCCAATGTTAACTTGACACACATTGACAATTCTCTAGAGTGCATAATTTTTCAACTTTATTTCAAGCACATCAACAACAAAAGGAACAAATTTTCCATGATACCTTTCAAATACAAGCTCAACGAAGTTCAATTTCATGATCCGAATTCATTTAGATTACACATTCCAGGAACCCTAACCTAATATGCCAAGTCTTTAAGCGTCTTAAATAAAAATATTAGTGAACTCTTTGCAGAATCACAATCACATTAATAGAAAACCCTAAACTAAATCCAACAAAACCCCTAAAAGCCAAAGTTTTCAAATGAAAAACCCTAAAATATACTGGCAAAAATGAAAACTTCTTAATCACTTCCACAAAAAAAATTCAGTTCGGTTATCACTTATCAGAGACACCCTGAAGACGGCAGCTCTTCCCACTACCAAGAACAAACCATCCAAAACTACCAATATACTTTAGCTATAAGCCTCTGCTCTCAAACACCACACTGGTTAAGAAAAAAAGGAAAATGAAAAAGAAAACCCGAATACTGAGCTCCATCCACAGCTCTGCTTATCACAACCACACGATAAAATCAATGGCCCTCCAGAATCCTACTTGAAGGATAAAATTGCAGAGGAAAACGAAGAGTACCAGAAGAAGTAAGTGTAGAGACGCTACCTCCCTCCATCCGGTGACGAAATCCTCACCTTTGATTTCCCCTCAACTCAAACCCAATGGCGTTTTCCTTCATAACCCTAACTCCGACAACACTTCAAGCTCCGGCAAAAAAAAGCTATACCCACAGAACACTGCCCTCGAGGTCGTCGAAATTCCTTAGAGCCAAGCAAGCAACGTGTATGCACGTAGAGTGAGAAACGAAATCGAGTTATCTGTAGAGAGGAGAAAAAGATGAAGTGTGTTTTCGTCTCAATATTTTAGGCGATGCCCGTAAACTGCCAAATTCGTACCTTAATTCAAAAAGTAAGAAAGAAAAGGAAATAAATTGAAGCAGAGCGGACGAATTTAGCGAACTACACGGCACAGGGTCATACTCGGGAACTCGTGTTTTATTGGAGGAATTTTTAGATTTATATAATTGTAAACAGAATTTATGATAGTTTTTCCGTT